AACACTGCACTGAGAGAGAGAGAGGGGTTCATACAGACACACTGACTGGACACTCCCTCTCACTACCCATCTGCTCTCCGTGCCTTGATGTCCTCTGTGTTTGCCGTCTGCAGCTTCTCTCTGAAGTGAGGGTCAGTCTCCAGCACGTCAATCACCTCCCGCAGGTATCGGTCGTAGTACAGCCCTGTGTCCTGAGACACAGAAAGAAAGTCATGCCCACTCTAGACTGCTCACAGACAAACAGGCTGGAAAGAACTACATCACCCATGAACCTCTGCAGCGGCCCCCTTGCTGGATGGGGAAGGATACCTGCCCCAGTGTTCAGTGGGAGTTGTAGTTCCTTAATGACGAACACATAGCTAGTACCAGCGACTCTTCCTGTTTGTCCTGCTGAGGAGGCGGGTCCTCAGGCGGCTTCTGATTGCGATCAATAGGCACTGACCACGCCCCTAGGATGACTGACAGCAGCAGCAGCCAATGATATGTGGCAGTCATTCTGGATGGGGAAAGAGAGAGAGAGGAGGAATTAAACAGAATCTGATGCAGTGCTGCAATGTGGGATTGATATGATAAGATCAGATCACTCTCTTGGCCAGATACAGTGTCTTGCATGAGGAATGTGTCTTCTCTCAGACCCCAGCTCACTCTCCATGAGACACACACACAGGGAGAGAAGCTGGGGTTCAGAGCGCAGGGTCGGACATTGTACAGCACCCCTGGAGCAGGGTGAAGGGCCTGGCTCAGGGGCCCCACAGTGTAGGATTCGAACCGGCAACCTCTCAGCCACAGGCGCCAATCCTGAGCCGCAGTGCCACTGCTCCGCCACTGGATTGGTAACTCCAGGTCTGACAGCTCATCTGTACTCAGTGAAAAGGAGTCCTTATGTGCTTGAGAGAACTGAAAAAAATAATTCCAGTCCTGTTACACCAGGAGGACAGCTGGTCTGGTGGTTCAGGTCCGGTCCTGTTGGACCAGGAGAACAGCTGGTCCGGTGGTTCAGGATCCTTGCTCGTGTCTCCTGGTCCAGTTCCTGACCCCCTGAACAGCTGGAGCTCTCAGTGACGGACCAGGACCTCCTGACCCTGAGGCTTCGACACACTGAGCACACTGAGCACACAGCCCTACAGACCTGCCTCACACACA